GTTCAAAAATATCCATTTGGAATATTGAATATTATATATATTAGTAAACGCATAAAACGTCTCAAAAAATCTCTAAATTTATTAAAAACCTGCTTAAAATGTTTAAAATATATCAAATCATATAAATACAAGGCGATTATATTGCAATAACAAAGATAAATAACATTTGTAATATAATAGAAAAAATGGATTAAAATTTTCTAAGTTGATGAAGGTGTTCGTGTAATAATTGGAAAATTTCTAAGTTAATGAATGTGTTCTTGTAATGTTCCCTTATATTGGGGCGTTGTCGGAGACACATACCCAAGGTTGTACATATATATGGGGTGGTCGGCTGACCGACTGCTAGTACTAAGGTTGCACAATGACTAGTCCTATATTAGGGACTTAACATAGTAAGGTCTGACGAACCAAAGCATTAATATAGAAGGTCTCTATGATGCATAAGCATTATGATAGCAGAGTTATGACTTGAAGTCCCATATGAATAAGACATACAGTAGTATGGTCTATGAAATAAAGCAAATATGTGGAAGGTCTCAAATATGTAAAAGCATTATATTGAAAGAAATGGGACTTGAAAAGGATTATTATAGTGGCGTGTAGGTTGCTTCGCAGCCTCTGAGACCGAGGTAAACTTGGACTCACTAACCGATGTGTCCTAGACATATCATCTTAGTGCCGGTGGTAAGCGGGTTTGTTGTAGCAATACGACTTGCCCGTGGACATCGCACACCCCTACCGGTTGTGGGCGGCGTCTTAGCGCATAGCGTTATGATACGTCGGCTATCTTTCGGATTAGGGTGAGTGTGTTTGGTAGTACTTTTAAGTGCAGCAAGCATACTCAACTTCATGTCTTAGTGCAATAGCGCTATGATACGTGGAGTTTTGGCTACTGACGTCTTAGTACCGTACTACTATGATACGTTGGTGGTATTTTTAGTTAACAACATTATCAAATTTTGTTACCAAAGTCGATAGGGATCGTGTGGGTGTGTTGTGAGGGGGCGCCATCCGTATGATAGTTGCATTGATGCTTACTGCTACTTGCAGTATTGTGTCTTGTGATGGATCTGCGGGTGTGCTGCACCTGATTCGATGCATCTTGTGGTTCTGGTCGATGGAGGTATGCGGGTGGTGATGTCTGCTGGGACTGTATGGGGGACCTTGGGATGGTGTAAGCCCGACGATAGTCGTATTGATGCTTGTTGCATTCAGTAGCATTGCGTCTCTACGATGGTTGTTTGGCGGGTCGCTATTCTCAATGGCGCTCTCTGCGTCTTGGTTTGACTCACAACCTAAGTAGCTTTGCCCAAGTCGGGTCCCTTCATTGCGGGGCTGCAGACTGTCTGCCCTCCATGATGTTTTATATAACAACTTAATAATATATCTCTATAAAGTTCCCACCTTTGAGAGATTGAAGGCAACTTGTTGGTGGGTGAGACAAACATGATCGAAAAATGCATATACCCAACGTCAGTGACACAAACCCTTTCTGATGGCGAATTATTAATATTATCTTATAACTGCCTATTGGCTATATCTGCCATTGTATTGGTTGGTGGAGCATATGTGTTGACCTCATGCGGGTGGTAGCTGGAGGGAGAATCTGAGGAGGCTCTCAAGGCTGCGGCCGAAAGCCGCGCAACGTGGGACCCCATTCCCTTGAGGTGAGCGGTAGACTCATGACACGCTCTGCGGCCAATTGGCCGTGCTGACCATGCAATTGGTGGTGATGCCTTACACTTACATCACGTCTGCAGGAACGGCGGTCTGGCAGGTGGTGGCGCTCACGGAGGGCTTTTTATGGTCAGTGTGCCGATTGTTGCCTAACCCGTGTGACGTACATTTCACTGTGGCTGGATTTGATCGTATTCTGTATGGCGTTTACACGCATTGACATGCGCGACTTCGGTCGATGTTTGTGCTTACGCACTATCAAGGGGCCAAGTCCTCTTTTACTGGTTCGCCAGTTATTTTGCTGTGGACTACGGTCCAGTTCCCAACTTTGCGTATCCTACGGGGGGAGCGCATTAAAATGGTTGGCGCTCACCGTGCGCGGCGTGTGTGGGGCCGTGTACCTCCTCCACATTTTTTTTAAAATGTGGGAGAGCGAAGCCCTTGTAGCTGGTATTTGATTAATTAATAAGGAATTGACTGTTGTGAACCAGATACAAGTGGAATAGGGACAATTTATTGTTCTTAACCTTTTTGAGCTCTGTCTTCGTGAACGGGGTTCTCTAGCTTATAAGACTCTACCAACAGCTTTCGATTGCTCTCGTGAATATTCATTCTTCCAAGATACACCTAAAAGAACTAAGTTACTATACAAACACAACGTAAAAAAAGGGTCCTAACTAAGACGATCACGCCATAAATTTATTAAACGGCCTATATTTAAACCTTTAGAAAGATCAAGTTATACTGGTCACGTAAATTAGATGTATTTATATATCTTACAGATATAGATTCTAAAGAAATACAATTATAAGTGGGATATAGTAGAAAAGAAAAAAGATGGGGGGGGGGGATCGTTACAATTTGGTGCCGTGACCAGGATAGAGGTTAAATTTTAAATAGGAGGCCGGTAATATAAAATTATGAGGTAGGCTAGTAGGTATGCCTACAATTTGTTGTCCGTGAAATGGAGAGGTGTCTTGGAGAGTGGTGTTTGCTGGGGGTGGTTGAGAGTCTGGGGGTGGGGCTTAAATATTAAAATGGAGTAATAATATAGGAGGTGTGTGCATAACGGAGCGAAATAATAAAAAGTGAAATAAGTGGAAAGACTCAATTAGACTAAGTGAAGGACACAACAGGTGTAAAAAAAAAAAAAAAAAAAAAACCACTGCAATACTATATATTATAAAGTGAAATAAGTGGAAAGACTCAATTAAACTAAGTGAAGGACACAACAGGTGTAAAAAAAAAAAAAAAACACTGCAATACTATATATTATAAAGTGAAATAAGTGGAAAGACTCAATTAAACTAAGTGAAGGACACAACAGGTGTTAAAAAAAAACTGCAATACTATATATTATAAAGTAAAATAAGTGGAAAAACTCAAATAAAGTAAGGGAAGGACACAAAAAGTGTAAAAAAAAAAAAAAAAAACAAGTGGTAATAAAAATTAAAAATGGCTAAAAATAAGAAAAAATCAACCTCAATTAAGGCTAAGCCTAAAGATGAGATGAAAATGCTTCAGAAATTAATTAAGAATGCAGTGAAAACCTTTGAGGTTAAAATAGAGGATCTTGAGGAAAAATTTATTAACCAAACGAAAGATTACCAAATTAAAATAAATCAAGGAGAGGTGTCCGGAGCGAGCACCTCTCATGTAAATGATCCTAGACAAAATATTGTATATAATGTACATAATGTAACAATAGAAAAGCCGAAATTTGGAAATGGAAATACTCATCCAGTATCATTTTTGGAAGACCTCACCAATTATTTAAAGAAAGTTCCATCTAATGGTCTCGAAATTTCGATTGCACAAGAGTGCTTAGTAGGTGAAGCCAAGTATTGGGCTCGCATTAATAATGTGCGTTGGACAACTTTTGATGATTTTAAAGCTGACTTCCTAAGAGTGTTTTGGGGTGAAGAAGAACAAAATAAAGTAAAGAGATTCCTTGTGTAAAATAAATGGAATAGAAGTACACACCCCACCATGGTTAGTTATTTTCTTTATGTTGTTGAGAAGGCACAAACATTATCATATCCGATACCTGAAAAACAATTAGTAACTGATGTCATCAGACATTATCCTAAAACTGTGCAGCAATTATGGAGAATAGCTAAAATTGAGACAATAATAGACACGACAGAATTCTTAAGAAACTTAGATGACATCGACAAACAAGATGAAGGTCGTGAACCTTACTATAATGAAAAAAGGAGGAAGTTTAATAATAATACGGATCAAAAACATAAAGAAATACAACAATCATACAAAAAATGGCGTAAACCCGAAGAGGGAAAAAAGAAGGTTAATGAAGTACATGAAATACATTTCACTAATGACCAACCTGATGTTACGGCCCCTGAGCCAAATTTAGAGCTGTAGAGGTCGAACTAGTTCCCGATTCGACCCCTTACAATGTAAAAGGGAACAAAGCATTAAATATGTTATTAAAACTGGGTTGGCGACCTGGTCAAACATTGGGTAAAAACAATAGAGGGTTGCGAAAACCTATTACTTTAAAAGCAAATTTTAACAGAGAAGGCCTTGGTTATAACGACAATGTAAATAGCATATTAAACACCTTAAAAGCCAGGTCGGATTTGCCCATAACGGAGTTATTCGTGCAAACTGTCTTCGAGGAAGACGAAGATAAATATCAAAGGGAATTTATAGGGAATATGAGATCTGAAATTAAAGTTTCAATATTTGACAAAGAAATAGACGCGCTCCTCGACACTGGGAGCGATGTTACATGCATTTCAGAAAGTTTATATTTACAAATTAAAGATAATAATCGTAAAATGTCAATAATGCCAGTTAAAGCAATGCAAATAAAAGGTGCTGTTGGGCAGCGCAGCACAAAAATACAACAGATGATCATATTGCCTATAAAGATAGATGAAGTAGTCTTTGAAACACAAACTTTAATTGTAGGTAATTTAATAAGACCTTTAATATTAGGCTTTGACTGGCTCAAGAGAAATAAAATATTGATTGATTTGAGAAATACTACTGTTGGAATAGAATTTAAAGTGAAAAACAAAGACTACTTTATACCTTTCAAATATAATAATAAATCTGTATTACATAATAACTGCATCAAACAATGTACCGATGATCCCTTAATAAATATAAAAATAGGATCTACATTGGAGGTCTCTGAAAGGGCAAAACTTAGTAAGGTTTTGGAAAAGCATAAGAATATGTTTTCGAGCAAATTGGGAAGAGCCAATTGCTATGAGCATAAAATTGAAATGATCGATGATGAACCTATAGTTACTAGGTCCTATCCCATTCCATATGCATATAGATCGAAAATGGAAGAAAAGTTAAATGAAATGGAACAAGCTGGTATCATCACAAGGACATCAACGCCTTACAGTAGTCCATTGACATTCACTCTTAAAAAAGACGGCTCAATTAGAGTTCTGCTTGATGCCAGAAGCATAAATAAGAAAATGGTTGCAGAAACAGAGAAACCACCTATACAATTAGATGTTTTGAATTCATTTCACGGAGCGAATTATATCACTACCATTGACTTAAATACTGCATATTTTCAAATTCCGATAAATAAAGATGGTAGAAAATATACTGGATTCACATTCAATGGAAAGTCATATGTATATAATGTTTTGCCGCAAGGATTAAAAACATCAGTAGGAAGCTTTAGCAGAGCCATGAATTTAATATTAGGACCAGAAGTCCAAGAATTTTGTGTGAACTATTTAGATGATCTAGCCATTATTACAACAGGAACGTTAGATAAACATTTGGAGCACATTGATATTGTTTTAAGTAAATTGAACAAAGCTGGCTTAACGTGTAACTTGCAGAAATGTGAATTTATTTGTAAAGAAATTAAAATGCTGGGTTTTATAATTTCAACAGAAGGCATAAAGACAGATCCCGATAAGATTCGAGCGATCCAAGAGTTTCCAGCACCTAAAAAGATTAAACAATTAAGGGCTATTTTAGGTCTATGCAATTTTTATAGAAGGTTTATACCAAATTACAGCGAGAGCATAATACCGCTCTGTGAATTACTTAAAAAGGGACGAAAGTTCCAATGGAACGGTAAAGAACAGAAGGCATTTGATTTTATAAAACAACAATTTATTAATACAATTGCATCATCCAGACTTTAATAAGCCGTATTATTTACAAACAGATTGTTCCGGTGTGGGTATGGCCGGAGTACTATATCAGATAGATGATAATAATGAAATGAGAATTTTAGGCTATCATAGTAAAGCCTTAAAAGGCCCCGAATTAAATTGGTCTGTTACTGAACAAGAGTTTTATGCTGTAATAAGCTGCCTAAAGAAATTTGAAACATATTTGCGGGGCAGTAAAGTAATAATACTAACTGATCATAAAGCATTATTGTTTATTAATAATATGAAGTTATTCAATGGTAGAGTAACCCGATGGATTTTGTATATAGAACAATTTAATTATGAAGTACAGCATATATCGGGTAGACGTAATATTGTTGCAGATGTGCTATCACGTTATCCTCCTGATGGCGATTTAATACAAGAGGATAAAAATAATAGTTTAGAAATTGCTTACACAGAAAGCGAACCGAATATTGAGTTGATAGAAAAATTAAAATTCTTATCAGTATATCAATTACAAGATTCAGAGTCATTGGCTATTATTGAAAAGTTAAAGACATTAAATACTTCCATAATAAAACAAAACAATAAATTTAAAAGGTATAGTTTGAGAAATGATGTATTATATTACAAAACGAATTTACAAGAAGTAATATATTTACCTAAAGCATTGAGACAAGATATTATAAATCAAGTGCATGTCGAAATGGGTCATCAAGGACCCTATAAGGTAATTAAATATGTGAGAGACAGATTCTTTTGGAAAGGTTTAACAAAAGATATTAAAAACCAATTAAGGGCTTGTCATTTATGTCAGTTATCTAAGAAAAGCAATATAACATATGTGGGTCCCTGCAAATCTATAATAACAGAAAACATTGGCGATATAGTCATGGCAGACTTATATGGACCGCTTGTATCAGGTACCTTTGGTTACACTTTCATATTTGTCATTCAAGATTCATTCAGTAAATTTATCAAATTATATCCTTTAAAACAGTCAACAGCAAAGTCTGTTGTAACAAAAGTAAAGCATTTTGTTGAGATTATAAAGCCCAAGGCAATAATGACAGATAATGGAAAACAGTTCGTAAGTAATCACTGGAAACAATCAATGAGAGATTTAAATATAAAGCCAATATATACTACAGTTAGAAATCCTAGACCAAATACAACAGAGCGAGTAAATAAAGAGTTGAGCAGATTATTTAGGACGCTTTGTCATACTAACCACAAAGATTGGGCATTAATATTGCCGAAGTTAGAAGAATTGTATAATAATTCTTATCACAATAGTACAGGCTTCACGCCTTGTGAAATTCTTTATGGTGAGTCTAATGAGATGTCTTTTGACAAAGTAATTTCCAAAAGCAAAGAAAAACATAATGTCGAACAAATTAGACAACAAGTGCGTAAAAATTTAAAAGAGGCAAGTCGAATAAGAAACACAAAATTTGATAAGCGAAATAGATTAATAAAATATAATATTGGTGACTTAGTAAAAATTTCAAGATCTAGTAGATCAGACGCTGATAATAAAGTTATGAGTAAGTTCAATTTGGCATATGAAGGACCTTATGTAATAGCAGCCATACCATTTGACAATGTATATACCTTAGCAAATCCAGAGACAAACGAAATTAGAGGAATTTTTAATGCTATTCACTTATTAAAATATTTTAAATAATAATTTCTTTTTGTATAAATTAAAATAATTAAATAAATATTGTAACATAAAAGGGTTTTGTGGGTGGCCAATGGAAATAATTGTTTAAGTTAAAGGTCTAAAATTATTAAAGTTATGAGCAAGAGATTTGTTATATGATAGTAGAACGTTATTAATATATAATGAAGAGTTGTAAATATAGATCGTAAGATAATTTTTTAATCATATTTATTAAATAAATATGGGAGTTGGGTCAGGGCGAATGGCTCAAACACATTTATCCTATGTGGTATCGAACTGACCTCAACAAATATCAAACTGGATTGTATGCACATAAAGTGTGACACTATCGAAATAATGTTTCAAAGATTAAAAGATAAATTAATAAAATAAGAAATCGATAATTGACTGCAAACTTTATTAACAACACGATATACAATAACTTGAATTATGGTGTTATCACATTGTGATAATTGTGGTTGAAGGGGTGTTGGTGGCGGCCATTCTCTGGGGCAGGGGGATTTGATAAAATATGCCGTATTGTAACAGATTAAAAGAGGAAAGAACAGATATATAAACAATTATTTGAGTGTAGTGTATATGCTCTCAAAATACTAAAATATTATATTAATGACTCCACTATGTGGATCATTAACATAAAATTTGGGGGTGGATTGTGACGCCTCATAATTATTATTAATAAATAATAATTAAATTCATTATACAGACATTTAAAAATGTCATAAAAATTATAATTTAAACAATAAAATGCAAATAATAAGCATAGAGTTCAAAAATATCCATTTGGAATATTGAATATTATATATATTAGTAAACGCATAAAATGTCTCAAAAATCTCTAAATTTATTAAAAACCTGCTTAAAATGTTTAAAATATATCAAATCATATAAATACAAGGCGATTATATTGCAATAACAAAGATAAATAACATTTGTAATATAATAGAAAAAAATGGATTAAAATTTTCTAAGTTGATGAAGGTGTTCGTGTAATAATTGGAAAATTTCTAAGTTAATGAATGTGTTCTTGTAATGTTCCCTTATATTGGGGCGTTGTCGGAGACACATACCCAAGGTTGTACATATATATGGGGTGGTCGGCTGACCGACTGCTAGTACTAAGGTTGCACAATGACTAGTCCTATATTAGGGACTTAACATAGTAAGGTCTGACGAACCAAAGCATTAATATAGAAGGTCTCTATGATGCATAAGCATTATGATAGCAGAGTTATGACTTGAAGTCCCATATGAATAAGACATACAGTAGTATGGTCTATGAAATAAAGCAAATATGTGGAAGGTCTCAAATATGTAAAAGCATTATATTGAAAGAAATGGGACTTGAAAAGGATTATTATAGTGGCGTGTAGGTTGCTTCGCAGCCTCTGAGACCGAGGTAAACTTGGACTCACTAACCGATGTGTCCTAGACATATCATCTTAGTGCCGGTGGTAAGCGGGTTTGTTGTAGCAATACGACTTGCCCGTGGACATCGCACACCCCTACCGGTTGTGGGCGGCGTCTTAGCGCATAGCGTTATGATACGTCGGCTATCTTTCGGATTAGGGTGAGTGTGTTTGGTAGTACTTTTAAGTGCAGCAAGCATACTCAACTTCATGTCTTAGTGCAATAGCGCTATGATACGTGGAGTTTTGGCTACTGACGTCTTAGTACCGTACTACTATGATACGTTGGTGGTATTTTTAGTTAACAACATTATCAAATTTTGTTACCAAAGTCGATAGGGATCGTGTGGGTGTGTTGTGAGGGGGCGCCATCCGTATGATAGTTGCATTGATGCTTACTGCTACTTGCAGTATTGTGTCTTGTGATGGATCTGCGGGTGTGCTGCACCTGATTCGATGCATCTTGTGGTTCTGGTCGATGGAGGTATGCGGGTGGTGATGTCTGCTGGGACTGTATGGGGGACCTTGGGATGGTGTAAGCCCGACGATAGTCGTATTGATGCTTGTTGCATTCAGTAGCATTGCGTCTCTACGATGGTTGTTTGGCGGGTCGCTATTCTCAATGGCGCTCTCTGCGTCTTGGTTTGACTCACAACCTAAGTAGCTTTGCCCAAGTCGGGTCCCTTCATTGCGGGGCTGCAGACTGTCTGCCCTCCATGATGTTTTATATAACAACTTAATAATATATCTCTATAAAGTTCCCACCTTTGAGAGATTGAAGGCAACTTGTTGGTGGGTGAGACAAACATGATCGAAAAATGCATATACCCAACGTCAGTGACACAAACCCTTTCTGATGGCGAATTATTAATATTATCTTATAACTGCCTATTGGCTATATCTGCCATTGTATTGGTTGGTGGAGCATATGTGTTGACCTCATGCGGGTGGTAGCTGGAGGGAGAATCTGAGGAGGCTCTCAAGGCTGCGGCCGAAAGCCGCGCAACGTGGGACCCCATTCCCTTGAGGTGAGCGGTAGACTCATGACACGCTCTGCGGCCAATTGGCCGTGCTGACCATGCAATTGGTGGTGATGCCTTACACTTACATCACGTCTGCAGGAACGGCGGTCTGGCAGGTGGTGGCGCTCACGGAGGGCTTTTTATGGTCAGTGTGCCGATTGTTGCCTAACCCGTGTGACGTACATTTCACTGTGGCTGGATTTGATCGTATTCTGTATGGCGTTTACACGCATTGACATGCGCGACTTCGGTCGATGTTTGTGCTTACGCACTATCAAGGGGCCAAGTCCTCTTTTACTGGTTCGCCAGTTATTTTGCTGTGGACTACGGTCCAGTTCCCAACTTTGCGTATCCTACGGGGGGAGCGCATTAAAATGGTTGGCGCTCACCGTGCGCGGCGTGTGTGGGGCCGTGTACCTCCTCCACATTTTTTTTAAAATGTGGGAAAGCGAAGCCCTTGTAGCTGGTATTTGATATAAATATTGTGAGCCTTTTCCAAGCGGGAAGGGATTAATTAATAAGGAATTGACTGTTGTGAACCAGATACAAGTGGAATAGGGACAATTTATTGTTCTTAACCTTTTTGAGCTCTGTCTTCGTGAACGGGGTTCTCTAGCTTATGAGACTCTACCAACAGCTTTCGATTGCTCTCGTGAATATTCATTCTTCCAAGATACACCTAAAAGAACTAAGTTACTATACAAACACAACGTAAAAAAAGGGTCCTAACTAAGACGATCACGCCATAAATTTATTAAACGGCCTATATTTAAACCTTTAGAAAGATCAAGTTATACTGGTCACGTAAATTAGATGTATTTATATATCTTACAGATATAGATTCTAAAGAAATACAATTATAAGTGGGATATAGTAGAAAAGAAAAAAGATGGGGGGGGGGGGATCGTT